GCTGCCCAGGCGGGTCTCGAACCTGCGGGCTCAGGCAATTCACTCACGTCAGCCTCCCAAAGGCGCGGGATTACAGGCTGAGCCACCGAGCCCGGCTGAGAGCTGGGTTTTTAATGAACTGAAAACCATGGAGATACATCTCACTTCCTGCCATGATTAAGGCTGCCTGTGTCTTGGTTTTCCTCACTGGGTAGGACAGAGAACTAGGTGGCATTGATCATTCCTTCTACCAAAAAATACTCTCCAAGAAAGCAAGTTCCAAAGAGGAAAGAAAAATGAGCCTGTAACAACATTAAAAAGCAACATAGATAAAGTTTTAACAATCTTGAAGACTTTTCAAAAAAGAAAAAAGAAAGAAAGAAAGAAAAGAAAAAGGAAACAACCCAGAAAGGGACAATCTGATCAAATACAAACATTCAAAAAAATTCTTGAACAAGGTTGGAAAGTATATCCACACACAAACAAACATAAACAAAGTTGAAAGATAAGAAAACAAACCAGGGGAAAAACTACTGGGGATACTTATGAAAAAGAATTTAGAGGCCCAATAAAAAGTTCTTATAGATTAAGAAAAAGATGAACATTAAAAGAGAGTAAATGGCCAAAAAATGAAATTCTCAAAACAAGAATACAAATGATCACGAATAAGAAAAGATGTTAAAACTGACAATTAAACACAGATACTCTAACAAGAGTCTCAAGCTGGCAAATTTTTTTTTTTAAGTGGCACTACGCAGGAGTGTGAAGGAAAAGGAAGTCTCATTGGCATTCTCATGCACTTTCTGGAAAGAAATTTAAAAACATCTGTCAACATTTTAAATCCATAATTCTCTTTGGCCAAGCAATACCACTGCCACCAATTTATCCTAAAAATAATAATCCAGGAGCTGTGTGTTATTTATAATATGGAAAAATTTGACTTAAATGTCTATCAATAGGGAATTATTTAAACAAAAGCATGACACATCCTTACAATAGCAAACCTTTATTCATTATTTGCAAGGATACCTATCTATATTTCATGATATATTACTAAGTGAAAAACTGAGTTGCAAAACTGCCTATGTGATATGATTCCTTTTGAAATGAAAAGTATCTCACAAGCAGTGAGATGTCTGGAAGGATGTGTTCCAGCATGTCAGTGGTCTGTTTACATTCTGTGGGATCTCTGGAAGATTTCTCTCTTTCTTTTTCTTTCTGTATTATTTGGATTTTCCACACTGTTCCTACACTGCCTTTGTAAATTTTAAAAAGTCAAAAAAACCCTGGATGTTATGCTTACATGACTCAACGTTCCACCAAATGGAACGGAATCCAAGAAGGAGAAGGTCCTTGGTTTCATATTATTCCAGCTTTTCCTCCAAAGCATGAGTATGTACAATTCACAGCACTTCTACTCATTATTATTTTCTATTATTTCAGCAAATATTATCTCAACACAGTAAGGAATGATTTGAAAAATCCATTAAAAATACACCAATGCTAATATAATTAAATGGACTGACATTAGCCACTAATAATATCATATGTATAAACACACACACAGGTCCAACAATCTCTAAAGTGTTTATAACAAATTTCACCTATCCCCAATAACCTTGTGTAGTAGGTGAGGGGTTTTATTGTACCTTTTTATAGGTGAATTTTAGAGAATTCAAGTGAAATGAAAGTTAAATAAAGATACTTTCAAACACTCTATGACCTGTAAAGTCTACAAGCCCCTGCTGAAAGAAGTCCCAAAGGATGTATTATAATATGAAGGAAAATGAACTCAGGGGAAAGGAATAGAAATGCAACAAACAAAGATAAACAAGATTATTGAAAGATAACAAAAACTAAGAATTACACATAGTAAAAACTTTGAGCAAGAACAAAAACAATTTTTCTTTATGTGATTAAAAAAAGTGAAACTAGGCAGAATATGGTAGCTCATACCTATAAATCCCAGCACTTTGGAAGACCCAGACAGAAGGACTGCCTGAGGCCAGGAGTTCAAGACTAGCCTGGGGAAATAGCAAGACCCCATCCTACAGAAATTTTTTAAACAATTAGCTAGGTAGGGCTGGACATGGTGGCTCAAGCCTGTAATCCCAGCACTTTGGGAGACTGAGGTGAAAGTATTGCCTAAGCCCAGGGGCTTGAGACCAGCCCAGGCAACTTGGCAAGACTTCGTCTCTACAATAAATCAAAAAATTAGCCAGGCATGGATGAGTGCACCTGTAGTTCCAGCTACTTGGAAGGCTGAGGCAGAAGGATCGCCTGAGCCCAACAGGTCGAGCAAGGCTGCAGTGGCTACGAGTGTGCCACTGCACTCCAGACAGAGTAAAATTCCAACTCAAAAAAAAAAAAAAAGTTAAAAAAATTAGCTAGGTATGGTGGTATGTGCCTATAGTCCCATAATCAGGGAGGCTGAGGCAGGAGGATCACTTGAGCCCAGGAGTTGAAGGCTGCAGGGGCAACAGAGCCAGACCCTATCTCATAAAAAAGAAAAATAAAAGTGAAACTAAAATACTAGGTAAAAATGACACGATGGCTACAAAAAGGAAAAATATGCTCACCTTGCCATATGTTGAAGAACAAGGAGATACTAATAAACATTATCATTTTACTAACAAATTCATTTAAGAATGTATATGAACTTTTAGCGTGGTCATTGAAAAAAACAAACACGAAACATGTATCTTACAAATGGATTGTCTGAGAAATAAAAGAAACAAAGCAAGCTGTCTATTCAATATAAGGTAGCAAAACAGGGGAAAAGCGGAGAAAATACCTGACAAATAGAAGACGAGATGACAGCAGAAATAAATCCAAATGTGTCATTAAAGTGAACAGGAAGTGAGGATCAGAGGAAGACCCAAGCTTCACCTGTACATAGACCACTTATGTACCTAATCCTCTCTTGTACCCCACAATTTTAAAAGAAAAATATTAGGATGAATATAAATGTAAACTTACCTACTAAAAGAGGCTCTCAGATTGGCTTACAATTCTGCCATATACTGCTTATAAACACACTCCTGAAATGAAACAAGAGAAATATTTTAAAATTTGGAAAGAGAAAAATATATCAGGAAAATGCCAATCAAAAGAAGGCTGCTGGGCTGGGTGCAGTGGCTCAAGCCTGTGATCCCAGCACTGGGGGAAGCCAAGGCAAGAGGATTGCCTGAGCTCAGGGGTTCAAAACAGTCTACTTGGTGAGACCTTGTCTCTACAATAAATAAAAAAATAAGCCAGGCATGGTAGCATGTGCCTATAGGTCCAGCTACTTGGAAGGCTGAGGCAGAAGGATTGCCTGAGCCCACCAGGTCGACGCTGGGGTGGCTGAGCATGCCACTGCACTCCAGCCTGGGTGACAAAGTAAGACTCCGACTTAAAAACAAAAACAAAAAAAAAAAACAAAAACAACCCAAACAAACAAAAAGAACACTGCTACAGTTAATTATTAACATCACACATTTAAATAAACAGCAGTTATAAGGGACAAAGGAAATTTTGTTATTAATGAAAGGAATCATCTGATAAGACAATTTAACAGTCATGAAGCTCTAACACCATAAAAACATAGCATCAAATCATAACAACAGAGACCAGGCGTGGTGACTCACACCTGTAATTCCAGTACTTTAGGAAGCCAAGGCAAGAAGACTGCTTGAGCCCAGGAATTCGAGACCAGCCTGGGCAACAAAGTCAGACCCTGTCTCCACAAAAAAAAAAAGAAAGAAAAAATTAGCCAGGTATGGTGGCTCATGTCTGTAGTCCCAGCTACTTGGGAGGTTCAAGAGAGGATCGCTTGAGTATGGGATTTTGAGGCTATGGTGAACTATGATTGCACCTCTGTACTCCAGCCTGGGTGCTGGAGTGAGACCTTTTCTCTTAAAAAAAAAAAAAAAAATGGGCCGGGCTCGGTGGCTCAGTTTGTAATCCCAGCACTTGGGGAAGACGAGGTGAGTGGATTGCCTGAGCCCACAGGTTTGAGACCAGCCCGGACAACTTGGCAAGATCTCGTCTCTACAATAAATCAAAAAAATTAGCCAGGCATGGCAGCGCACGCCTGTAGTTATGGCTACTTGGAAGGCTTGAGGCGGAAGGATCACTGGAGCCCAACAGTTCAACACTGGGGTGGTCATGAGTGTGCTACTGCCCTCCAGCCTGGGCAACAGAGTGAGACTCCAACTCAAAAAAAAAAAAAAGAAATGATAAATGTCCGAGGTGGTAAATATGATCACTACACATTATATGCATAAATAATGTATCACAGGTACCCTATAAATACATACCTGAGTAGCTGAGATTATAGGCATGCCAATAAAAACAATAATTTTTTAAAATGACAGACATTTAAACACATAGGGCTCACCTTAAGTGGCCTATGTTATGGCACATGTGTGCCTGAGACCTGGGACTGGCTCACACCCTAATGTGGGAGACAGGGCAGCTGAGTAGTAGGCTCCAAGAACCCTGGCACTGTTCTAAGCCCCAGGGAGAGACACAAAGAGAAACCTACAACAGGAAAGTTGGAAAAACAGGAAAAGGCCCAGCAGGAAAGTAGACTATTATTTTCTTACTGACTTCTTAAATCATAATGCCACACATCATTGGCAATAAAGAAATTATAGGCCGGGCATGGTGGCTCACACCTGTAATCCCAGCACTTTGAGAGGCCGAGGCAGGAGGCTCACTTGAGCCCAGGAATTGGAGACCAGTCTAGGAGACACAGAGAGACCTCATCTCTACACAAAAATCAAGAAAATTAGCTGGGTATGGTGGCATGCCTATAATCTCAGCTACTCAGGAGGTTGAGGCAGAAGAATCATCTGAGCCCAGGAGGTTGAGGCTGTTGTGAGCTATGCTTATGCTACTGCACTCCAGCCTGTATGCCAGAGCAGGACCTTGACAGGGAGAGAGGAGGAGGAGGGAGAGAGGAGGAGGTGGAGAAGAAGAGAAAAGGAGGAGGGAGAGGGGAGGAGGGGGAGA